AAAATTAATAAAAACTTGGGGAAAAATATAAAAGGTTTTTGTTTTATTTTGTTTTTTTTGGTACTGAGCTTGTTTTTTTATTCCGAATTAGATGACAGGTTTTTTTTTTAATTTTATTATGTTAATCACCATACATTACATCATTAGTTTTTGATGTAGTGTTCCATGATTCATTGTTTGCGTAAAACACCCAGTGCTCCATTCAATACGTGCCCTCTTTAATACCCATCGCCAGGCTAACCCATCCCCTTACCCCCCTTCCCCTCTAGAACCCTCAGTTTGTTTCTCAGAGTCCATAGTCTCTCATGGTTCATCTCCCCCTCCAATTTCCCCCCCTTCATTTTTCCCTTCCTACTATCTTCTTTTTTTTTAACATATAATGTATTATTTGTTTCAGAGGTACAGGTCTGTGATTCAACAGTCTTCAAATTCACACAATTCACAGCACTCACCATAGCACATACCCTCCCCAATGTTTAAAAGAGGTTTTTTTCTTTCCTATAAAATGGTATTTTACGATAAAGTAGAAAGGGTATTCTTAGTCTGTTTATCTTAACCGTCCTTTATGGTATACTATCACATTATCATTTTCTAATACTGGCAGAAAAGTGCCATTTTTATGAACAAGAATTCTTTATACTATTAAAGTTGATATCACTTCAGAGATTATTCTTTAAAAATTACTCGGATGATATTTTTTCTTTTCTAATAACCTATCATCAGCATCTTTTGGCTCAGTTAGAAATAAAGGTAGTCTCACTTTAAAATTAAAATTGTTTTGATTTTCTCTTTTATACTTACTTTCATGTGAATTTTTTCTTTTAATACTTGATCTTTTTTGTAAAACACCTGCCTTCCCCTCACATAAAAGATAAATCCATATTTTTTGAATTGTGAAAATGTAATTATATAAAAATGCACTTGTATTTAAAAGAATGCTTAATTGTGAAGGATTCAAATTGCAAAACCCTTCTTGTTACAAGATCTTAGTGGAGGGTTGGGAGAAGCATTCTACACAGACTATTTTGTTTTTATTATCTAAAAAATATTCTGAAGTTGAGTAACTACAGTAAAACAAGACTTGTGTTGTAGTACTGAGGAATCCAGAGATCCTGGCGTCAGACTGCCTAAATTCAAATCCCTCCTTCAGTATTAGCCTTGGGCAAGTTACTTAACATCTCTGGTCTTCAATTTTCTTATCAATAACATGTAAATAATAGTGGCCATTGCAAAGCTTAGAACAATGACTGGAACGTGGCAAACAATTAAATGTTAGGCATTATCATCATTAGTAGTTTTTATTCTTCAGTATGCCCTAAAAAATGTACATAGTTTGCATCATGGCCATACCAGTCTAATCTTTTATCTACTCATGCTCAGGAAGAAATATAATCTTACCTCTCTTCAGAAACCATCGTATATATCCAGGTCTGCATTTTTCCCCATTTGTCTACTGTTTTAAATTCAAGGCACTTTGTTGAGAATCCTGCAGTTACTTTTCATCTTTGCTTATACAACCAAGAAAGATGAAACTTACTTAAAACAGAATTAGAATGACAGATCGGCCAGAAGAAAAAAACACATGAAAATGGTTTTAAACAAAGATCAAAGAGCTTTTTGAAATGCAGTTCAAGCTAAAGTGCTTTTAAGGAAATCATTGATAAATATATGAGAAGTGAATACCCCAATTCCTGTGGCACAGAAAAGTTAATACATATGTAAAGTATTTATTAAATACTGTGGGTATGTGACATGGGTTTTATTCTTCATCAGTTTACAAAGGTATATTATACCACTACTAATAGATTGGCAACAAGTCACCGTTCTCTCTTGCCTGGACTCCTGCAGTACCTTCCTGCGCCCACCTTCCACTCAGACCACTTTCAGTCAACTCACCATGCGGTAGTTGGCGTCAGGAGCGGCATCCTTCTACTCAAGAGCCTCTGCTGATTTCCCTTTCACATAGAGTAAAATTCAAAATCTCTCCTTGCACCTGGGATTCCAACAAAATCTCTCAGTCCTCTTTTACAGTTGTACCTCTCACCTACTCTGCTCCAGCCATTCAGGGCTCCTTGGTGTCTGGGGAATGGACCAAGCAGGCTCCCACCTCAGGGTCTGTATACTTGCTCTTCCCTAGGGGGATGCCCTTCCCCCAGGTATCTACAGGACTCGCCCTGGCCCTTCCTTGGGGTTTAAATGTCACCTCATCAGAGAGGCCTCCCCTGACCACACTATATAAAACAGCACTTGAACACATACTTGCCATCATTTTGTCTCCCTTGTCCTGCTTTATTTTTCTTCATTGCACTTAGCGCCATCTGACATGTTTGTTCATCTGTCCCCACACATTAGAATGTAATCTCTAGGCGAGCTTACCTGCCTTGTCCACTGTTGTTTCCTTACACCTGGAACAGCACTAGGTTGTTGAATGAATTAAAAAAAAAATACTTAACTGCACTCTTATCCCAATTTACTACTGACTTCTCATATAAACACAGGAGAACCATGTCAATTTTCTTAGTCTTCCCAACTTTTTTAGGAAAATTAGGCTAAGAATAGATCTGAAATAAGGTATTTCTAAGCATCAGAGGTTATTGAAATGCTGAATACAGGAACTTCCCAGTCCTGGGTATATACCAGTTGGTCTCTTCTTCCCAGTCATCTCTGAAGTCCTCTTCTCTCCCTTCCTACACCTCACTAGTGGTGCCCCCTAATGGCTGCCAGGCAGACCAGCCTGACCCAGCCTGTCCCTTGCTACTTGCATTCTGGTACACCTCATAGTAGTGGCCTACTGCCTTGTAAGTTTTATCTCAGGCAGTCCCTTTCTCTCACACACATCCTCTTTAATGTCTTTGCTCCTTTTGTTTTTAACCAGTTATCTCCGATATTTCTTTCTTTCCCCAAAAAAGTCCATGATTATGATTGATTGGCAGGAGATTAGTACTTGAAATATGCCCCTTCCAAGGGAATGGGAGAATACGGATTTTTAAATTATGTTATATGTAAAACATGTACCTTCAGAAGATTTACAGAGGTCTTTCTCTACCTCCTTATTCTCCTGAGATTAACCTATTATTCCTCAAATACTTAGTCATGTTAATTTTCTTATTCAATTTTGTTTAACTCCTAGCATTGCAGATATATTACTTCCAATTTTAATTGGAAATATTTAATTATACTTAAAAACATGGAACATGGAAACCAGAAAAGGGGTGGAAAGGCAACTGCAAACTCATTTTGGAACTATCCCAAGTACCCAGTCATAATTAATGGTAGTTTTTCTTTTTCTTTCTCTTTTTTTTTTTTTAAAGATTTTATTTATTGAGAGAGAGAATGAGATAGAGAGAGCATGAGGCGGGGAGGGTCAGAGGGAGAAGTGGACTCCCCACCAAGCAGGGAGCCTGACGTGGGACTCGATCCCGGGACTCCAGGATCATGACCTGAGCCGAAGGCAGTCGCTTAACCAACTGAGCCACCCAGGCGCCCGAATCTTAGTTTTAAATTGTAAAATATTTCATTGCTTCAAGATTATCACTTCTAATCTTAATAACCTAATAACTGTCATTGATGCTACTAAAATATTTTACTTTCTGC